ACAAAACCTTTGTTTTGAAATGTTATGGTATAGGCATGAGATAACATCACCACGTGCTGTTCTGTTGTGATGTTACTGTGTTGCAAAGTGACACGCTGGCACTTGCAAAGCAAGAAGAATTACGGTCCAAAATAAGAGATTTGGGTGTATTTTGTTTGCTTTTAACCAGGGTTGGTGAATCAAAAATAAACCAGCAGTTTAAAACATATCGTAAAAGTATTTAAAGAGAATTTCAACAAAATGTTGTTCGCTAGTCATTCTTCTGTTACTAAGCTGCTTTGTAATTATTGCTTATGTATAGGAAGCTTGCTAATTGCTTTTATATTGAAATCTCTAATTAAATATTTGGCTTAACTAAATAATACATTAAAAATGACGTGAAAGGACATGACGTGAGTAGCCGACTTTTCTGATAATGGGGAAGATGTCTTGGAAGAGAGGTGTGTGATAGCAAACAACTTCTCTGCTGCAAGGAACCGATGTATTTAAGTATAGTTCCCCCCTGAAAATGCTGCATAGAAGTAGTCTTCTATCATTGATGCACTTTTTATTCCACTAGTTCTTATTCTTAAATTGCTCGTTTCTCAGTAGCCCTCTGGGGCTCCTCTCTGGACAATGTAGAGTCTCCTTTTCACTCTGTGTGTAGGGAATCCTTCTGTCACGCCAGGTACAGACTGTGGGGGATGCCTCAGAGGGGTTCCCCTTTTCCTAGCGATAACTCAATTTCTGCTGTCAATGCAAATGGCTTTATTTTTAAGCACTACATCAGGTCTGGGCTATTTCTAGAGCCTCATAAGCAAAGATGAGCAATTTCCGCTCTAGTAATCTAACTAGGCTACTAAATCTACAATTAACAGTCTTCATGCCTTAAATGGTCTTAGTGTCTCTGTCTACAAAGTCTTCTATGATAAAAGAACAATCTAGTGGCAGTATTACTTTTGAGAGTATATATCCAAATGATTGAGCTTAAATTATTCTGTTAATCTTTTTAAGGAAAACACTGTATAAACTGTTATGATTTCTTTATTTGTTCACTGTTATCCATCACAAAGATATAGCAATTCCTTCTAGTTATACACAATTGCTTTAATTTAAAGGTAAATATCTTACAAGGTGAATTTAATTGCATATGGGCTGGCACATTAAAAGGATTTCCAGTGAAAACATCTGAAATGTATCAGAAGCTGAAGCCAGAGCTTCACAGCTCAGTGACCAAGCTGCTCCAAACAAATGAATTGGATCACTTAATTGATTCAGATACAGGCACCATGAAAATATGTTTTCAGGTTGCTATTTTCAGCAGTGACGTAGACTCTGTCAGAGACCACAGTGCTGTATTAGCCATCCAGCTACTGAATTAATGTTCATAAAGATCACCTTGCAATGACAGTGCTTGGAAGATTTCAGCCAATGTGCACAGACGTATGGAAAGAGAGTGCTGAATTAGAAACAGCTTTGAAGATTAGGTAAGATATAACCCCAGGCCATTAATCTTTTTTTGAAAGATTTGTGACGCAGTCACCTTGGTGTTTGCTGTTGTCATCTGTAGTTTGTGCACATCCCTATATAGAAGCACTCCAGTGGACGCTTCTCCCAATAACAGAATAATAGAGGAAGAAGAACCTCCGGGCCCAACATCACAATGTTGTCATCAGAGTGGGGTTTGCCATTGCATCAAGCGGGAATAGGACTGATCTTGAGACAGTAGGCACAGATACAACAGAAACAGATATATCAGGGAAATTCTTTTGCATTTTATGTTGCCCTGTCTTGGACAGTCCCTTCAAATGACAACCTCCCTGCTCGATGAGGGCATGTCATGACAATTAAAACCAGACAAGCTTTTGTAGGGAAAGTTAGAAGAAGACACTATAATTCATGGGAAAGTGAGTCAGCCTCATTTCCTGGCCAAATTCTATTTAGGGTTATTAGTTTCCTTCTGTCTGTATTCCCCCACATTTTCAGCGACACACCATAGTTTAAATTCAAACCCAAAGTGCTGTGACATGCTGTTAAAGGTCTACTTCCTTCCACTGCACAGGTGACTGTGCCAAGGTTGTGGGAAGAGCAATTATTGCTTGTTAATTCATAGCATTCTGCAGTCATGGATTAATCTTTACATAAAAGGTGCTGTATAAATATATATTTCAAAGGAGATGTTTTATTCCTTATCACCTTTATTATTTTATCTTTCTTTACTCCTATTGGGAATGAATACTTTGAAATATCTTGTAATGTCAAATATTTCTAATTCTGCTTTTTTAAGAACATGAACTAAATTCAGTAATCTTCAGTAGGATCTGAGCTGGCATGTGAGCTTTGATCTAAATTTAAGTATTTTAGATCTTTCAAGCAGTGTTGACATGACTAGTGGATAGAGTTTCTGAAGAACCTCTAAGTTGCAAGCACTACAAAGTCATTTTGACTTGGCCAAGCAATAGCATTTATCAAGGCGATGTCATATTAGTGGTGGTAGTGTGACTTTTTATAAACATACCCTAGAACTCCAATCAAAAGTCTGACGAACAGGAACATGCTAATCTAACAGTAATAAAAATAATTATATTTAAAAAGAAAAACCTCAGCCTCTCTTTTCCGATAAAGCATAAGGAGATTGTTTTCATGATCCGATGACAGACTGTCCTTGAATTCTTACATCATAAACTAAAAATGACAACAGAGGAACCTCCAAAGGAATGAGCCTCTCTTCTGAGACGCACTGAACGTACGCGACCTATGTTTGAGTCACTCAGAGCGGTACTTACGGAGTCTTAACACATCGCTATAGTATGCTACAGGTCTGGTGTCATACGCACTAATAGCAGGGTAGAGAGCTGGAGTTAACATCACCCTCATGCACTCAAGGCATAGTCACTGTTCACAGAAGTAGCACCACTGTGCTGTTAGGTCTTTGCTGAGATTCCTTTCCCTGTGGCAGCCCCACTGATGGTCAGGAGGGGACTGAGGGATGACCCTGAATCAGCGTGTCCCCTGGCAGTGCCGGAGAAGCCCTCCCCTGCGGTGTGACGCTGAGGAAGACAGTGTCTGCCACCCTGCTGTGCTCCTCCAGGCAGGCTTTCCTCCCCTGGGGTTTTCTGCCAGACTCCCCATGGGCAGAAGTCAGCATGTACCCTACATTAATTTGTTTTCAGATGTTTACAGGCTGCAGGTTGCTTTGGTAACATGGTTAAATCCCAGCCTGGGTCTGTTTGACTTCATCTGTGTGGTCATCTGTATTAGATGACCAGGATCTCTTTTCCCAGCACGCTTGTTCTGCTGTTTATGTGGGACCATGGTCAGCTGACTCAGGCAGGCTAGGACTCTTTCAGCATCATCATTTACAGGATCTATGCCATTACTTCATCTGTTTTCTTTTCCTCAGCAACACAGCCAAACTATCAAGTCCCAGAGCATGTTCCCATTCTCCCTCTCCCACAGCTAGTGGATGTTAGCCACGCACCCCCTGCACGGGATGGGGAAACAACACTGCATTTCCATAGGACATAACTCAGCTCTGACTAAGCCCTGCAGAGCCCAGCCCAGCTCCTCTCCAGACTTCATTGTCAGATTTTCCATGTGCGATAGAAGCCTGACTGTACTGCAGATGCCTCAGCTGATCAATATACTAACACTAGTTATTACAGATGCAAGATCATGTAGTGAGAGGTAGAGTCTTATCAGTCACGTCTGGAAAAAATTAAGGACTTTCTATTCCTTGCTTTGCTTCTCCACATCTACCACCTTATTCAGAATATAAGAACAACAGCAACAAACGTGTTGGGGAGCAGACAAGATGGACTCATCCCTTTCATTTCAAAAAAGGATCATGTCATTGTCATTTAGACTTGATCCTCATTGTGAACGGAAGTATTAAAGGATTAGTGAGTCATTTATACCCAGTTATACCTCCAAACATTGGGGTGGCTTTCATTACTCAGGGACACTGCTCCCATGTGTGTGCAGAGAAGAGGTCTGTCCAGTGTGACTGCCACACCGAGAGAGGGGTTAGCTAATGATATATTTCCAATTAATTAACAGACTAAGGGAATCCTATGTCTGAACAGCTTCCTAAAATAACATTGCTTAGTTGTTGTGACAATAAATCCTAGATTAATGTGTTGTTCTCCTTTCCTTCTATTTTTTACTCATACAAAAAAAAAAATTCCTCCTCCTCCTCAAGTAGGATATTGAACATGACTGTCTAGAAACCTGTGTTTCATCTGGGAACACATGACATACAAGAGAAAGCCAGAATCCTAAAGCTCATGGAAGCTGACAGGCGCAGTGCCTGAAAAAAGAACCATATAAGACTTTCAAGAACTGCTCTATGTGCTCTATGGTATATTTGTTTTACAACATCAGAAGCTAAAATGGAGTCACATCACAAATTCAATTCTGCTTTATGCTACATTCCTGAATGCAGTCTAGTGTCAGACACCTTAAGCTGAGACTTTAATCACCATTAAAAACTCCTGCTACAAAAAAAAAAAAAAAAAATTGTAAGTGCTTTTTTGGAGGGGAGGTTTCATGTACTATTTTGACTGCTGAGCATTGAGGCATGGCAGGCTTCCATTCCAATCCACCAGTTTCAAAACCAGCAGCAATGCGGGCCATGTCATACAGCTTGTGAGCAGATAAGGCATTAACTGACTTCAGACATAGTTGGAGTTGGATGGTGCTTAGTGGCTGTCAGTCCATGTTAAGATCTGAGGAGGTAAAAGTGCTGCTTCTGGCAAGAATCTGACCTAAATGGTCTCATTGCGTTCCTAAGTAATTAGCTGTGTACCAAAGCCCTACTCTATAGGGTGCATCACTGGTTTGTACGTACGCAAGGTTACAGTGTGGTAACTACACTATGGGAAACCAAGCTGCCCCTGAAGTGGGAGAGGACTGCATCACCTCTCCTTTCTCACCCTCCCCAGTCCATATGTGAAGAAGGTGTGACTCCCTAATTGCCTCCCTCGTTAAGCTGCTGAGGAGCGCAACACAGAGGCCTCACCCCATGAGCCTGCTGTGCCTGGTGGGTGAATTTAGATGTGTGATGGGGTCTATGCCCCAGTGCATGGTCCGGTGTGGCCGGGTCACCGCAGCGAAGGGGCTGCTGGGGAAACAGTGGCACTGCGGGCTTTGCCAGGGGAAGGCTGAGCATCTTGGAGGAGACAGCCAGGAGAAGAAGGTAAGGCTGAAAACTGAGTTAATGGGATATAAGAACTTGTGGCTGGTATACAGAGAGAGTCCTTTATCTTTCAATAATGTCTCTTAAAAGAAGAATTCAGGTTGTACATAAGGTCTGCAAGTTATCTGTTATTATGTAGCAGTCTCTTTTCTTTCAGCTGTATAATACGGCAAGATTTATTGGGGGTCTGAAGCCCAGAATTCTTTGGAAACCCAATAAGCCTCTGTTTCAGCTCTGGCTGGAACAAACTCTCTTCTTTATTTCTCCTGGTGAGTTTCATGCTTCTCTACTTCCAGGTTGTATTCACTGCAGTATCTTAAGTAAACACTGCTTCTGGCTGCATTGCATAGCAGGAAGAAATAAAAAGCAATGAGGCTTCCATCATGGTTTGAAGATCTGATTGGTGAAAGAGTTTAAGAAAATTCTGAAATTATTGCTGGGGTAGGGATGTATCCAAACATACCTAAGCCCTTGGAGGTCTTACTGCCCATGATGAATTTTGCACTTCATACTTCTGCCAATGGAGAGTAAGGTAGCATGGACACCTTGTGCAGGAGCACATTTATAGCTGTCATTATCAGGAAAGTGCTCTGAAACTGATGCCTAGATCCTCAACAGGATTTGGGGTTCACAAGCCTTGTGGCTTCAGCAGGGTTCAAAGTCCTACTTAAGGTACCCAGCCTCCCCCTGCCCTGTACGGAGAAGGTCAAGTAACTCAGAAAAAGATGCAGAAAAGAAGGGATACAGGCTATGGATTTGGGGGGGTATGGAAGTCAGAGTACATCTTGGTGTTCCCACCTTCTTTCCCTGGCTACTCTCCCACCTCGCTCCCTCAGCCCCTGACCAGTGGGTGGTGAAGAAGGACATTTTGCTGACCTTCTGGCAGGGATTGGGGTGGGGGCTGCGTCCTGCCAGGCAGGGAGCGCTCACCCCATGCCTCTTGGAGGGGCATCTGGGGACTGAAGGTGGCTGCTTCCAGTGTGCTCCATCTGCACACCATGCTGCTTTCAACAGGCATGGCAGGACCTTCCTCCGAGCTCCTTTTAAAGGAGTTGACTCAAGAAAAGAAATAATTATATGTTCCGGCTCAGAAAAGATTAGTCTCCACCTGGGAGAAGTTTAGCAGCTGGTTGGATTTGTGCTGTATTAAATGTGCTCTAAGTAACCACATTTAATACCACTCACTCAAACCCAGGACACAGGGGAAAACCCCTTCTCCTGTTGTGTGACCCCCAGATACCAAGTGTGTCGGGTGCTGGATGCACAGCAGTGAGGTCAGGGTGGCAGATGCACTCATAAATGGAAGGCAGAGATTAATCTGCACTGGTGTGCATGGGCATCCAACAAGGAATTAAGTCCCAATTGCTTCATTGGTAGCATCAGGGCTTTTAGCAGTTTTCCCTTTCAAGAAATGGAATTTCTGACACTTCAAGAATTTTAATATTATAACATCTAAAGTGCCTCGAGATCAAGTCACAGTCACACAGAGGTCACACCTCCAAAATGGGAACTGGGAGAGATTCGTGACCCTCCATCCCTCCGTAGCCATTTTATACTATTCTGAAGTTTTCACACCCCATGGGAGTAATTAAAGGTGATGCAAGAATCAGACTTGAATTGCTTGACTTCAGTGTCCTTATCATCACATCCACATCATCAGGGGATGCCAGAGAAAGGTTTCATATGAACACTTCAGGGATGAAGTGCAATACTTAAAATTTGTGGCGCATAAAGTCACGCTGCCGTTCAAATTTGCTTGAACTTGACAGGCCTTTTATTATTATTTTATGTCTTTTCTGTTATTTTCTTTTACTTTATTTTTGTGTTATCTCATTTCATTTTTATATTGCTGCTGCAGCAAGTTTTGCATTCAGCATATTATTCTCTGGCAAGAGGATGTGAATGAACTCTGTGATTCAGCAAGTCAGCAGCACTGCAAGAAGGACTTCAGGGTCAAAGCAATCAGCTGCTATAGACATAAAAGCATTACACTGAAATAGCATTTCAGCATCCACAGGAGGCACAAAAAATCAATTTCTCTTTAGAGATCACAGAAATAATGATGATGTATTTTTACAGTAGAAGGTAGAACGCAATTTTGTGATGATGTCAGGTCTTTTAGGTACTCAGTGATGTCATTCGCATAGGTGCTCTGGATGGAATAAGAACAACCAGCATCACAGTTCTCATCAGTGATGGCTGGATTTGCAGTTTCGTTTCAAATAGATGCCAGTCTATTAGTGAAATGTCACTTAACCACAAGGGACACACTGACCTGAAAAACTGAAAAAAAAGGCTCTCCTGGGAACTCAGTTTCTTGTGCAAACCGCATTTTTTTTCCCTGCTCTTTCTTAAAATGCAACAAAAGAAACCCCAAAGCAATTTGTCATTTTGGCTCAGAATCAGAAAACACTGAGGCAGAGTAAACTGCCCAGCATGAGATTATTTTATTTTTTTCAAAGTGACTTATTATGAACATGGAAAATATTTCCCAACAGGTTTGGCTCAACCTTGGGATGAAGGCTCTGATCAGTTCCTCATACATGTGACCTCATATGTTTGCCTCTGTTCATCAGGCATTGGTGGCTCGGCCCTGTGCAGTCCACCCCCACAGTGCAGGACAGAAGTGTTCACTGGTGCCCTGTGGTTCGGAGCCTGCAGAAGATGTTGGGTTTGACTTTTCTCAGTGACTTTAGCTCTGAGGATAGGGAAGCCATGGACTGTGAAAAGCTAAGACTCCTTTTCTCAAGAGCCTGTGCCTCTCTTCCATCTTTTTTTTCGGGACAAGTAGGCCAGGATGGGCCCCTGGACTTCAAACAAGCTGTCCTTTGAGAGATGGCATGTCACTCCTGACAGCCTGTGAGCAGCAAAGTCAGCGCAGTGGTACTGCACACTTAGCAAGCTAAGCCTGTCAAGGTGTTCAGTTCAGAAGCTGGGCAAGTTGTATCTCCTGCCATGTTTATTTGTTTGCAGGTAAAATAAAACACAGCCGATGAGTGGGAAATATAATGCTCTGATGCACATTATCACTTCCTTTTTGAGTTTATATCATCAACACCATTCAATCGGCCCTTTATTACATACAGCCAGGTGCATGCTCTTTCTTTAAATCTATTTAATCATAACACTACCTCCATAAAGTTTAGGATACAAAAGGCATTTGACCACGCAGAGAATAGAAAAGAACATTTGCATCCCAAGGTGGTATCTTTGATTACTGTAAACACATAAAAATTAGTCCATCTAGAGCTGTAATAAAAACTGGAAATTAAATGGAAACAATTAAAAAACCCCAAATAAAAACCCCACTAGTATAGAATAGATTATTAAAGCCTTGTTCAAAAATACACACAGATGCTCTACACTTTCCAATCCGAAGATTGTTTCATATCCTAGGTCACCATTTTAGCACCTTTTCCCTAAGTGATCAGTTACCATTAAAGAAGTTTTCCAAAGAGGGTTGCCCTGTTGCAAAAGTGGCTCCTGCCTCAGCCTGTCCCCATCCAGAAGTGCCCACTGCTTGGGCTGGCCTGCATGGCTCCTGCTGACCAAAGCTGAGTTCTCCAAATGGGACAGAAAGTCACTTCTGGCAGAGGGACAGTGACAGGAAGATGAGAGGTATGCTAGGAGAGGTTTTCAGAGCTGTTTTCAGGCAGCTAGAACACGCAGCTGGCAGTGATACATGGAAAAACCTCAAAGCAACAGCAGAAAGCAGAGTGCAAGGCTGTTGTTGCATTAAGGCCTTTAAGGACTCTGACTGGGTCTCCTGCACAAGGAAGTTCTGAACAAGAGATATTTTCTCTTCCACAAATTTTGTTGGCATAGATTATTATATTTCTACATATTCCTCAGGACTTTTCAAATGCACAAGCTCCTATATGTGCCTAATTATTCTTCAGGTCATAGATACCTGCAGGCATGGCTGTTCACAGTAGTCTTTTCAGCTTAAAGCATCTAGCAGATGGTTTGTGTCAATAAGATGGGTGAGTATGGTTGCATGTTTTGAGCAAGAATATTTCCTTCTTTTGGTTTTGAAATCAGATAGACTGAAATTACACAGGGAGGTCCAGAAATTTTTGTCATGAGTGATATTTTAGGCAGTGTCCTCAGGGGATCAGGCCTACATGAGGGGCTGCTCCTTTTTTTCTTCATACATCTGAGGCAGTTCCATGCTCAAGATTTTAAACCTTGCATTTAAGAACTTACCCACCGCAAAATGAAGACATCAACTGAGGAGAAATCCTTCCGGTTTCTAATTTGATTTTGCTCCCAGCAGCCTATGTCCAATGAGAGCAAATAACTTTCAGAGACCTGTCTTGCTCTAGATCTATCAGTGAATCAGCAAGGAAAGGTACAGAGCACACTGCTCAGCTCTGCCTGGTCGCCAGTCCCAGAACACTTCAGAGAAAGAAGCTGATGTCAGGCTGAACACCATTGTATGTTTATAACAGAGCCACGTATGGAAAGAAAGAGTCCCAGCTCATTTGAAGAGCAGATTGAGGTTCATTTGGGAGCTGGCCAGCTGGTGGAAGGGACCCTGGAACTCATGAGTTCTTGGTGAGAAACACAGCTGTGAGACTGCGTCCTGCTGCGTTGCCTCAGCTATCATTTCTGAGTGGCTTGAAGGTGCAGTTCCAGGTAGGTGCAATTTGACCTCAGGGTGACAAACTGAGATCAATAAACACAGTAAGGTTCCTAGCAGGAGACAAGGACAAAACCTGCCTCCCAAGCACAGAGTACAAAGAGCCTGGCAAGTCTCTCAAGTTCATTATATTTAGTAACTCACTATATTGGATTTGCTGTGCGTGGTGCAAAGAATGATTTTAAACTATTAGGAATAGCTTTCATAATGAACCTCTAATGCTTTCAAGGACATGGAGTTTAGGGATCAAATTAATATATTCCAGAGTTTACTGCCACACACCATAAAGAAACAAACAGAAAAAGCCAAATAAAAAGTCTTCATTCATTTTCTCCAGAATGTTGTATGACTATTCAGA